GCGGCGGTAAGTAATTAAGGGAGAGACGACGACAGAAACGCCACCTGTCTTGTACAAACTGCGATTATGGATTATGTAACCGGGGACTGGCGCTGTCCACGAGTGGAGAATTTTGAGGAGTTCGCAGAAGAGGAGAATAAGGGACGGTCCGAACAGGTAGACCAGTGGTCATCGATGGCCGGGCGATTGACGTATGCCGGCTCACTGGCAAAGCTTGAACAAATGGTAGTTGGCAGACATTCTTTCGATTGGTCACCTGGTCATGGCCGCTGCGTAGATACGACGGAAACGGTGTCGCATTTCACCTAAGCAAACAATCGTTGTGTTCGACGATGAGGAGGGACCTCTTTGAGGTGTAGCGGAAAGCCGTCGCATGGATTTCCTTAAAACAGTGCCAAGGTCTCACGGCGACTCACTTAACTGCCTAATAATAACAACACCTACCTATCTATTATCGGGCATCGAAGTGGAGGAAAATCTTTACTGCGGGGATATACGCACTCAATTAAACAGTCATTAAATTTACATATGTTTTTTAATAATTTATAGATACAGTGATGAAAAACGATACAAAATGATCTAGCACTGCACATGATGAAACACCACTAAGCTCTGACAAGCTTATCTGACCGCATAGGCGACCGGCAACAAGGGGGCATGCGCTACATTTTCTTGAATCATAAGAAAGTTTCCCAAGATTGATACATTCATATGCTTGATACGCTGGTTATAGAGTTTACATAAAAATACAACATTTTGGCAGTTCCATCTAGGACCCCCTGAATTTAAATCGATTACGCTGTACACCAAGCATGGTGTCTTTAAATCCAAAAATAGATCGATCCAGAGTTTTAAGGAAACACAAACGAACATTTTTATGTTAACGATTTCAACAACTCATTTTAAAGGTGTTTTGCTCCTCCAAATACAGACAAATCACACACAACAAATAAGTCTGTATTGTTTATGGACTGATTTACACATTTCAGAAGACTACATCGGTGATTCTAGTTTACAGAAGAGCACATAAAAGTAATACGAAGAATTACAGTCAGATCGGTTCGTTGCAAGTCATCTAAAAATTTTTCTTAAAAACATGAACCAACAGCCTTTGCTTCTCCAGATTGAGAAGTCACAGCTGCGATGGCTTGGGCATGTGTTGCGAATGCCTCCA